GAGAAACTCAAATCGGGATGGCTCATAGACAATACCAATGGAATTGATGAACCTGGCTGGCATAGTTGTGAGAGAAACCATGCATTTCATACTGTCTAATATGAGCAGCTGAAGCAGTTTACAAAACTGACTCGGAATCACATAAGCTCTATTGGTATTATTTTCAATATTCGTATGACTGTCACAAGTACTCAAAATATACTCCCGACGAAATATGACGACGGGATTTCAACTGAGGATTTTAGTACTGGAACTGACAGTGAACTGCATCAGCAGTAGCAAAGTTCATTGTCATGCGATCATACGAGACGTGACGTATATGTTTATATGAGTACACGAAGTGAACAATTGTGTGCAATGGAACAGAAGGGCGAGAGCGACCGGCGTCGGCGATCAGGCCATCTGAACGCAAATTGCACGGATCAATCGCGAATGACTTGTTGATTACTCACCGGGACTGATTGGAGGTGAGCAAGTGCATGGATTGAATGGTTCCGTCTCGTCGTCTCTCGAGGATGACTGTGTGATTTTCGCTTCCGTGTCAATTGGGTGTTCTGTGAGGTCAATGAAAATGCGCGAAGTGATCACTCAGATAACTCATTTACCGCATCTATGGCAATAGGTTGTGTTGTGAAACCTGTTTTGCCAATTCAAATGCTGAATGTTTGGGAAAATATGACTTTAGTGAACAGGGTCAGCTTGTTCTGAATCCACTCTCAACCCGCGCTTTTATAAACACGTATTTTCCAGGGCAAATTGGACACTGGGTATTTCTTTTGCACGATTTCAGTTTCACTTTGTGCAACCACCAATCTCGCTTTTCCGTGCGCACGATTTGGTTGCTATCTTCTGGCTGCCCATTTCGCTTGACGCAGTTGGATAAATACTACAACGTTGAAGGTAGTAATCAAGGTGAGAAAATCGAGAATTCCGAGGAACTAGAGTTAAAAGGAGATTAAGATGATGGACGAGCACTATTGTTTATGACAGAGCCGTTTCATTCGTTGTCTCTAGCCGCCGTTTACGATCATCGCGAGGTCCCCGGCCAGGGGCACTAGTCTGGACTATGTGGCCGAACCTCCTAGCTAGGATGTTCATACCCTCGTGCTAGAGCTTTTTTCACTACCCCGGGTTTTGTTCTACCCACTACCTATCTCGGAAAGCATCGTGCGTTGTGGCAACCTATTTGGCAACATACACACATGTCCAAACAACGGAATCTGTTGAGGTCGACCACTTGTTTCAATTGATGACTGCGAATAAATAAAACTCCGGGCCTAAGCGGAGCATTGCTTGTCCGCTCAACTCACCGGATTCGCGCAATACGGCGTAGACAGCGATGTTCAAACAACGACAGTCTATCTGGATCCTGTTTTCGCAATGATCAAGTTTCCAAACCGTATGGTAGAACTGATCGAACTAGCGCGGCGTATACTGGACTTTTCACGGACTGCTAGATGCCACGAAGGTATCGCAAATTTTTCAAGTTGGCAGATGCAAACCGAGCCTTCTGTATACGAGCCAACACATCACTCGAGATTCTTCCGTCAGGTGAGATACAACTGCTCAAATAATAAAAATCCTCCACATGGTTACTCCGACATCTGGAGTGAGGCCGATTACTGCAACAAACCAGACTTGCAGCAACATTTGAAAAGTAGAAGTGCAAAACACATGCGGAACACCGCTGGCCTAGCACTCAAGATATTCAGAAAAGCGATTCAGGTTGGACGATAAACTACCAAACTATCATCAGTTACAAACCGTTTTGATTGTGTGGGGAAGCAGTGTATCATTCTGAACGTGGACACTCATGGAAGGTAGATCAATCTAGGCGGAGTGCCTGTCGAGTTTCTGCGATAACGAAATTAAGCGGTTTGATTGAAGAAACGGAACAGTTGAAAGTGAACGCATCACGTATATCAAACGAGGAACAAAGGTGGACGTCTACGCCACGGTAGTCACCAAACAGGCATTTCGAACGCTGTTCCAAAGCACAAATCCCGTGGCACTAGACTGATAAACAGTCGGGTCAATACACATTCGCATGCCTTATACTACGGAGTAATGCGACCTCGGCGTCACCATGGCATTTATTCTGTGTTCTAAAAGCTGAATTGCAACCCAAATCCAATCATACCAAGGACCACCGAGATGATCAAAGTGCTTCAGCAAATGCGAACAAATGAGCTAGACGACCTACACATTATCTCATACGTTTGGATGCACAAACTGATTGAAATCAACTCACCACTTGATTCGGTCGATCCCACAAACTCCGTTCGCAATTCGCGATCTGGGTCATGCTTTGTCCAACCCGTCTCACCTCCATCCCTATCCTCGTGTTTGTCCTCTCGCTCATAGTAGTATTTCCTCGTCTCGTTTCGTTCCTCATGATGCTTCTCGATGTGCGTTGACCGCTCCTCCTCCTTGTCTTCTCGTTCGAACTCCTCCCTCTGCTCGACCGTGTCATTCGTCTCCCTCTCGGTCACCGCGTCACTGTCCGTCTCGGCAATTGACTGAGACGGCGACGTGGCACTTGCAGTTGATTCGCGGGTCTTATGTGTGCTCCTATCGGTGTATGAGGCATCGGTGCTTCTTCCATCGTCTGTCGTGTCGGTGGTTTTTGTGATGAAATGAAAAATGTATCTAAGTGTAAATATTTCATCGGACTGACTCATCTGACTGCACAAATGGCTGAAATGGCATCTTTCTCATGCGACAGCGCCGCAATAAGCTGGGCGTGAATTACACAAGCTTGATCACTTTATCCAATCTAGAATTTGGATTTGTTCACAAGTGGACCCTGTGTCAGTCTTATTGCGAAGGTGTATAGATTATTGTTCAGATGGTTCTACGTGAGTGTCACGGGTAACGGTGCCCAGCTTCAACACAAAACGCAAATCCATTAGGACCAGAATTGCACATAGTTTGTGAGCGTCAGGCAGCGAGTGAGCAATACCGTTCTACAAGGAACGAAACAGTATATGCTCAATAGAGGCGGACAAAATGGTATTCAAAGGTGTCTTCTCTCAATATTCCCAAAGTACTTCTTTAGTGATTTATGAATCACAATGTTACCACAGTTCAATTATCGGTTGTTTCACTTTATATTCCTAGCTTCGGTCACGGAGTTCATTGTTCGAACATGAAAGCGAGTGTATCGTCGACGTTGACGCGCACGGTAGGTCGATGGATCAGCCCTGCTGATGAGACCGAATTAGATGAAAACAATATCCCACAGTGGCTCCTAATTTTTCAGTTCATGGTTTGGTTAGTCTCTTCACGACAAAGTTCACTATACGAGCAAACATTTTCCTTCAATTCGCTCATGAAAGAATGAAACATCAAGCTTTTCAAATAATTACAGAGCAACATCCAGATAAATTGGTCTGGATTCAGTTCCCGTTTGTACATACAAAAGGACGGCACATTTTCGTGCGGTCGCTTTCGTTGTTGTCTCTTGGATGCCCACTCGGATGAGAAAGTAAGGCGAAGATTGGAATATTGAGAATGATATCAAGATGACGATCGATAATGCTGGATGACTGAGGTTGCTAGTCATTGATCAGATGCATGAACACTACTGTGCACTACACTAGGCCACATCCCACAGAGTCTGGCAGCATCGCTTAAGCTGATTACGACATCTCCATCCAGGAAGTCGAATGCGATCAATGTGAGTGAGTTTCCTCGTCAGAGTTTTCATCTACTCACGCCAGGTCTGTGTTTGATCGCTCGTGAATTTTTCATCCAATATCTCCCTCGTTTTTTGGTTTCATGTGAGTTTGTACAACCCATTACAATGCTCTGTCTTGTGCCGGTTTTGGAAAATGACAAGTTTAGAAAGACTGAAGTTTGAAAGTGGAATCGAAGAGAAAATTTAGAATTCCATTGTTCTAATTTGCCGAGAAATGGACAACATGCGGGAACACCCTTTTTAGGATACTCACTCAGTGTCTCTAACGCTCGGATATGATTATCCCGAGGTCCCCGTCCAGGGAACCTAGCGGCACCCACGTGACCCAGACCTCTGGTTAGACGTTTCTTAAACCTCATGCTTTGTCTTAGCTCGGCCTCCCTTGAAGTTCTTCCACCCACTACCTCACTCGGCGAACTTCGCTCGCCTTGGCAACCTATTTAGTGACATGCATAACACATGGCACAGCGAACGTAATCTATGGAGGTCGACCGCTTGCTCCAGTGGACGACCCCATTTACCTCAGACTCCGCGACTAACCTCATCATTGCACGTCAGGCTGCCCCACCAGATTCTTTCAATGCTGCGTAGACCGCGTTGTTCGAACATCGACAGTCTATCGTCATCCTGTTTTACTGCACAATGAAACCGTGTTCCTGTGTGCCACGTTGACAAATATACGGCTATTACGAATTTCACGAGCTGCAATTGATTCAGATTACTTAGGATGAACATTCCGAACACACAGATGACACAACTTGATACAGAGCATCATTAGTTCGTAATCATTTCCGAACCGGGTCCATCACCACAGAAATGAGACGAGAGACATACCAGGCTCCGGGGTGATTACAATCGACTCGTTAGACTGACAGTCGCATGGGATGAACGTGGACCTGTCCGTACTGTCCATCCCGTCTGTGATCTCCTCCTCAGTCGACGGGGGAGTTGTGGTCGTTTTGCCCGAATGAGGATATTTTTCTATGAGATGTGTAGAAAATGCGAGAATGGTCGCATAGATCATAAGATAATGTTCACAAGTAAAGACTTGATGTTGACATTTAACTAGACCACTTGGCATTTCCAGTTAGACTTTTGTTGAGGTGGATAGCACAGCGATAGCACACAGGTGTGGCGATTGACTGAGCGGAATCGGATATCCAGGAGAGAGCATGTTTCATTCATCAGGCGTCATTCGCTAATGTTTGGTTCCCTGAATATTCTCAGAGTGTAGGTGCTCGTGAAACTTACAAAAATCAGAATGCGTATCTTCACGAACCCGAGAAACTCAAATCGGGATGGCTCATAGACAATACCAATGGAATTGATGAACCTGGCTGGCATAGTTGTGAGAGAAACCATGCATTTCATACTGTCTAATATGAGCAGCTGAAGCAGTTTACAAAACTGACTCGGAATCACATAAGCTCTATTGGTATTATTTTCAATATTCGTATGACTGTCACAAGTACTCAAAATATACTCCCGACGAAATATGACGACGGGATTTCAACTGAGGATTTTAGTACTGGAACTGACTGTGAACTGCATCAGCAGTAGCAAAGTTCATTGTCATGCGATCATACGAGACGTGACGTATATGTTTATATGAGTACACGAAGTGAACAATTGTGTGCAATGGAACAGAAGGGCGAGAGCGACCGGCGTCGGCGATCAGGCCATCTGAACGCAAATTGCACGGATCAATCGCGAATGACTTGTTGATTACTCACCGGGACTGATTGGAGGTGAGCAAGTGCATGGATTGAATGGTTCCGTCTCGTCGTCTCTCGAGGATGACTGTGTGATTTTCGCTTCCGTGTCAATTGGGTGTTCTGTGAGGTCAATGAAAATGCGCGAAGTGATCACTCAGATAACTGTTTACCGCATGTTTATTGATTGTGCTCAACGCAGGCCCGGTTGGCGTAACATTGCATAAGATGGACTCACCGCTTGTATCGTTTGATCCCGCAAACGTTGATTGTGCCTCGTGATCCGAGTCATATTCTGTCGAATCTCTCTCCCTTACATCTTTGTCCTTCATGATCGTTTCTGCATTATCGTGTTTTCGCTCCTCGTGTCTCTCTCCCCGTTGCTCTATGTCATCCGTTGACTGCTTCTGCCTGTCTTCGTTCTCTGAGTCCTCCCTCTGCTCGACGGAGTCACTATTCTGCCATCTAGTCACTGTCTCATCGTCCTCTGATAGTGGGGATAACGTTCTCATTGTGGTTGGTTCATGTGGTATGTGTTTGCTTGCATCGTCTAAAGTCTCCTCTGACTGTTCAGTGGTAGTCATGTCCATGTTTTCTGCTATGATATGAAATTTGTGATATATCAGCGACGGTAGATCAATACTTTGCATATATATATATAAAAGCCATTTATTGTATATTGGATGTTGTATCGTAATTGTTCAGTAAAATAATTTCGCATTCGTAGATTCAGATCACATCTTGGCGTCCCTCATGGAACCGATCACATTTCGGAATCGGATAGTTATTGTTCCTAAAAAAAACACATGGTTTAGGAAATGGGATTTATTGACTATTAAAAAAGAGTCTGAATCGTGTGTAATGTATTGGTTGTCAAATTAAGATTTCCTTAAACCACAATCGAATTGTATTCCTTCTTTTGTTCTTTTTTCGCTTTACTTTCTTTAACATTTTAAAGAAGGAGGAAGTGGCCAATCAAAGAGCTTCTATTCAACACACAATGAGGAGAGTCAGGCAGTGGTGCTGGTATTCGAACACACATCCGGGGGTGATAATTTAGTGACGTTACCACCGGCAATCGCCGCTCGAATTTTTCGGTCAACACCATTGATGGTTACAAGCATGCTTTGCGGTTTCCTTTACAATTGTCGTACTATTTCTGGTACAGGAGAGAAGAAACCTGCAATGTTTCGGGATCGTATTATATACACTAATGGACAATACCATATTGGTTGTGATTCAAAACTGTTTTCAAATTCATATGCATGAGTCGAAAGTAACATTTGCACTGGAGTCTAAATTCTCAAAAACACGTTCCCATTCAACTTCTGAATTTGGGTGAAGTATGCAAATGAGGTGAAAATGTCCCACAGAAAAGTTTATAAAACTAAACATCTTGAACTCCGAAGCAGACTCAATTGAAACACGTCTATCGAGACTCAGCCTGGATAACTTATTTATGATTTGTCGTGCTCAAAACACAAGAGCTCATGGCTTTAAACGTCAACAAAACCACGCCAGGTTGGAAGTACGGGTCAACTTCTTCTCACACAGGGTCATACCTATGTGGAATAGGTTACGCGCAAAAATGGTCAACTGTGCCGCTTTTAATGCCTTCAAGGTGGCTCTGGACGCATGTTGATCAGCAACGTTCCCCGAAGTTAGTATTTAGTATTTAGAGTGAGAGAAGCAAGAATAAAACCCACCTTAGTGAAATGAATTAAACTCTGGCTTGGTTATTGGATTTGTTCTCGAACTGTCTGTCCAGGCACACATGCTCTGTGCATAAGAATATCTGTGAATCTTGAGGTCGCTAACCAATGAAGGGAGGAGACATTCCGGCTTATTTTCCTCCCTTTCAGCATATCCCCCCTCCGTCCCCTC